TGTTCGTCCCTCCCCTCTTCAGCATTCATCTTCTCCCCCACCTTCGGCATTCCTCTTCTCTCTTCCACTTCTCTCCTGTCATCTCCAATTGGATCTGCAGCTTCCTACTTTACCTTTTGGATCTTGAATTGATGTTGGAATTTCACGTAATTTGTTTCAAGGGGAAAAGTGTGAATAAGAGGTGCAATTTTGTCATGAAGTGTTCTCGGTTGTTTCTTCTTTTCTTAGTTTTGGATTTTGTGTGTGTGTGCGCGGGCGCGCGCACTCCAAGTATTCGATCAATTGCCTAAAAGGAGTTCCCTTTGTTCCTGATTTCTGTTCTTTAGCTTATGCACTTTTTTGTTTTTATATATATATGTACACAAGTGGGATAAGCATGCTTGAAGAGGTTAAGAAGACTGCTGATACAAGGGGGCTCAAGCTACCAAAATTATTCTACATAATGTTGTAATTAACCAGCTTATTCCTTGCAGAGAAATTGCAATCTGAGTTTGAAAAGTTTGTTTCGATTCTAATTCGATCTATTTCTTCTGATTTATAGCTTGTATTGGCCAACCCTGGAGCTAAAGTGATGAAGAAATTTAGCAACGTTGTCCTTAGCAAATTTTGCTAGTCATCGCCCTGCTGCGAGAATCTTGAATCAGTGAAAACGGTGGAAGATCCAAGTAGTATAGATTCTGAAGGCTCCCTTCAAGAAATTGAAGAAGACAAAGAAAACATCGAAGAAATTGAAGAAACCCAGGAGCAAAAGCGTAGTTCCTACAGAAGCCAGAGCATTAAATCGGACTGGTGGGATAGTTTCTTGCACAAGAACTCCACAACCCCAGGTTCCCATTTCTGTACTTTACTCTTATTTTATTTATTTAAAAAAAAAATCCAGACGTTTGGGTATTATTAATTGATGATGGGATTTAAATTATGAAGATAATTAAATCAACAGTCTTAATATGTTAATATAATCAACACATGATAGACAGAAAACATCTTATATGAACATTTTAGGACATGCAGTAAGAATCAATTACTACTCGATGCCATAATAATGTCAAAGCTCAAAAAGCCAAGAACAGAATATTATATCCATATTAAATTAAAGAAAGTCTAACAATAGAAAGAAAGTTTATTCATGCCATAATTATGTCAAATTTAGTATGACTGTTAGGATGAAATATGAATTCTCAATCCTGAAGAAGAAACAAAAAAAAAAGGGAGAAAGTCAAGACTTATAAGCAGGGTAGAACTGTAGCAGCATGATATTGATATCCATTATTAAATTAATATCAAACTCAACCAAAAAAGGACCAAAAGATCTTGTGAAGGAAATATCAAAGTACAGAACATATTACCAAACGTAATTTCCATGGGTGTGTTGCAAAGAAGTATACATAGCTTATCAGTTTCTGCCCATGATTTTATCCATCATCTTCTTCATAGCATTTTTCACCTCAACAACAACCCTGCAAAAGCCATATATAAAGAACAATTTAGCAAACCCATATATATTTATATATATGTGTATATATATAAAATTCAATAACAATTTAGGAAAATAGAATTGTTGAAAAACAAAATCAGAGTAAGGAAAGGGACCTCAGCCTTCCTAACGTAGGTCCACCAAAAAATGCAGTTTCAATTGGCTTGTGAAATTCCACAAATCCCAAGAAAACCTTAGCATTATACTTGATCATACTTGGGTCTATTGGAGTCCACAATTGTGCGTCCATTCCATCGATATGAGCATACACAAAAATAGGATTGTTTTCATTGTCATTGCCAAAAATGGTGCTGTGGATAAGGTCTATGTGTGCCCCAGGCAAGATCTCTTCCTCCATGATCGTTTCTCCATTAATTCCCCCCCTCTTGACATGAAACACAAGCGGTGCCCATCGGCTTCTGTTTTCAACACGCGTAGTCTTTGAGAGCAAAGCAACCAGTGGACTGCCCAAAAGAAACAGATCAGTAAAATTCTTCAACATACACCAACTCAAACCCCAAATCAATTCCCTTTTTCTCTTTCTCCAAGTTTTCTTCAACATCACAATGCCAAGATTCAAGAACAGCATTCTTCATCTGACAGCAATACATTACATTCATATATGTACTAAGAAAGTAAAAGAAGCAAAATTTTTTAATCCATTCCTTCATCTAGTGGAGCTAGACTTTCTACGGAGACTTTAGGTACTATGCAGTGACAAGAAAAAATTTTAAGGACTCTTCAGCAATAATTTTTAGTTTTAAGGACTGATCTGAGAATTTGAGAAAGTTAAAGACTTTTTTTTTCCCCCAAAATTTGAAACAATGCAACATCTAATTTGCAATTTTTTTTTCTTTTTATATTTGGGATTGCACAATGTAACCCAATTCTCTCTCATCTCTTAACTCATTTCACCCGTGTGCCAAGCGACTTAAACTTAGAATTTTTTACTTTTAACACAAGAATATTCTAATTGATTTATTTAGTTCATCGACAATTTGTACTTTTTCTAAATTTGTACTTTGTAATGCAATTTCTGTCAAAAGTCCAACACCAACTACCTATTAACAATTTTAACACCATACAGAGAGTACATATGAACAATATGCTTAATAAAAAACATTGTCAATGGTACAATTTCATGAGAAGAGTTCAAACATATGCTCCCATTCTCAGCTAATATTTAACCAGTAGCGATTGCTGGGCTTGGATTGTGGATGTTTTCTTTCTTTTGGTAAAAAAACAAAATGTCAGTTGCTGCCCCTGCAATGATGTTCCCATGATGTCCAAGTCCAACAACTCGACGCACACAGAGCCAACGGAATATGTTTCAAGAGTATATGAACCCCTAGGATTAACTAATTATAAAGAAATAGTGTATGGGACTGGAACAGGCACATAGACATTTTAGTAATTAAAATTTTGAATTTTCATGTTAAAAATCTCAAATTTCAATTTAGGAACAGGTGAAGAGAGGTTTGAGAAGAAAGAACTATCTTTTATTGTATAGTTCATTATTCAACAAAATAAAAAAAATGACAAGGAAATAGCAAGATCAGACCAACAAAACAGTCACCACCAATAAACCCAGTTTCTCCCCTCTCGAATTGCCACCAACAAACCATTAGATCCAAGACTATCCAGGCTATTCACCTCAAACAAATTTTTTTTTCCTATTTTATTCATTTTTCAAAGAAAAAAAATGCAAGAAGAACAAGAAGAAAATAGGGAGAGCCGAAGCCATGCACTGGAAAAGGGGGATCTCATGGTTTTTAGCTTGCCCTTGTCTTTCAAATCCTCAATGCTAGAGAGGACAAGTATTTCAACAAAGCTAATGGCCTTAGACGCTCTCTCTGGTTAGTTTCAGATACTAGTCCTTTTTTATTTAAGTACTTTTCTCTCAGTCTCTTCTCTGTTTCAGAGAATTTGGCATAAATTAATCAACATATCTGGCAATTCAACTCAAACTAAAATTTTTTTCTTCGCTATTTATTCATTTGTTTAAAGAAAGAAAAAAAAGCGAGAAGAACAACAGGAAAAGAGGAAGAGGAAGATACGCACCTCATGGTTTCTGAATTCTGAATGCTTTGCAGTTGTTTCTGCCAAAATCTGCAGAGTAATTGGTTTTCACACTTATATATCTTATATATCTTTAATCGACACTATTTTGCACATACTTTTTGTAGGAACCATTTTGCACATACTTTTTCTAGGAACCATTTTGCACATACTTTGTGTAGGAACCATTTTGCACATACT